GTATACCACATCACATATCAAGGGTGTTTTAGGGTAGAATAGATGTCGTGAATGTTGGTAGAGGCCAGTTCACTTAAGCTGGATGGTCAGGTGATTATGTGGTCGTTTCGTGCACATGAGACATTTTCGTCGGCATCACTCATCCAATAAAGTTACTCCAGACTGTCTTAAAATGTGCGCAGGTACTTAGCACTTGTTGAAGACAAAACACTGTGGTGGTCCGAGCCCTTGCGCCTAGCACGACGACTAATTCGCTGAAGCAAAAAAACCTCACCATGTATCACAAATATGGTGAGAAAAGAACGCGAAATCCTTGTTCACTGTGTGCTCTGCAACGACTGCGCGCGTCCAAAATCACAAACAGGGAAAGTTTGAGTACAGGTAGAACAAGGTTGAAGGAAACTCGAAGACTGCGCTTGCCTGATGAGCTCCAGAAAGGGTGAAACCCGTCGTGAGCTATCGAAGAGTTTTCAGCAACATTATGAGTAGTGTATTACGTCTATAAAAGTATCTGGCTTTCTTGAAAGGGACACTCTTCATAAGCTTGTGCAAAGCTTGGCATTCCTTCAAAAAAGATCACAATAGAAAACCTTAGTTGTAAAAGCGCAGAGTGGGGTTTCTGCCAACACGATCGCGTGACCGAGTTTGCGTAAAACTCGCATACCAGGCAAATGCTTGTGAAAGTCAGGTTCTTCTACGAAGCAAACGCAAGTGCCTTCATCCTACAGTGAACCGCTACATTCCTGGCCCCGCAGGATTCAGTGGGCTAATATGTTGTGAATCAATCTGCAGACAGGTGGAATTAGAGGAAATCATAGGATAGGTGAACAACTGAAAACTTTCTACAGCCATGAAAATGGAATTCGAACTGTTCGAATTGCTCGCAAGCTTTTCAGGTTTAAGCCTTGACCACGCCACTTCTAACGGGGATGGTATGATCTATTGGCCAGTCTCATTAGAGGCGGGGCAGAGATTCGAGTAAACCGGACTACTCACATGCCTCATCAGTAGTATCCACCGTAACACAGGTGATTAAAAGATTGCGTACAGGCATAAGCTGTTGTAGACACGAACGAAGTTCATGAACAGCGGACTGCTTGGCAGAACACGGTGCTCATAAGGCTGCCGAGAATTTTTCCACAAAACACGACCGGTTTCGGGCTTCTTGTCACTCATCAGGTAGGCACAATCCGCGAGTTACCGTCAAACTTATGTTTCACTTGAACCCAAATTGGCCCGATTCAGGCAAATACACTCATTTGCAAATCAATTTGGTTTTAACGGGAGACTCAACTGAATTCCTCATTTATGATATTCTTTAACCGAATGTGCTTCACAAAGGCCGCCTCATAGTTCAGTTGATGCGATATTCAACATATCGCATTATATTTTTTTCATAAAGGAAACAAGGTTGCTGAAAACGCTTCGACAGCAGAGTCTTAGCTGAACGTGATGGCGAATGTTCACGGCTATTCAGAAATGATAGAATCCAGTGCGCATTATTTTAATCGAACCCATAGTTTTCCAAGTATATCATGAGAATAATCGGTAAGACACACACACACACACATGAGAACCGGTATTGTAGACAACTGTCTGTCTTACACTAGAACGACAAGTAGGTGGCAGTAGTGAAGTAACTGCTTGCCTAGCGTCACGGTTGAGGAAGCAGTACATTCAGGCCCCGAGGAACTCGTGGTGTGACGCGTACTGAACGTTGATCGTACGTTCTGACAGAAGAATCACTCGCAGCGGTCAGACTGGAGTGGACGGCAGATGAGGAAATAAAGCTGATGTGAACTTCAGTGTCTATGGGTAACCCGAGACCAGTAGCTTTGTGGAAAACTTTTAGGCGACAGTGATATGGGTAGGACTTCGAACTTTACTCGCCTCTATAGTTCCACCCGAGAACTATCCAAGGACGACCAAGATGAATGGACAGGTAGCCTAGCTGCCATGCCACTCGAAGGAAGCACGAGAGCTTGGATACTGCCAGGTTGCCCAAGCGTAGACAGGAGAGGTCGAGAGGCAAAGGTCGGGTTCGACCATGAAACATTCCGGTCAGTAAATTCGCGCTCTCACCCGCTGGATATCGAGGTTGACGGCGAATTGGATAGCTTCGAGGTAGGCATCTCTATGGAAGCAATGCCAGTGAGGAGCATTGTTGAATTTCAAGTATCTTACCGGCAGTGCTAACAGGCTCAGCCGTAGGAACGCTATTTGAATTGTACGCGGGCGGGTAAACGCTTAAGAAAGCCTTGTTTAAGCAAAACTTCATCAATTTTTCTTTCGCCCATGACGGTATAAAGCAAGAGAGTTTAGAAACAGCTACAGCCGTTCGCCATTCCACCACCGTTTGGCGTGTGGCCTTGGTGACTGATTGGCTGCGTGTCCGTTTGGTTTGCGCGCGTGCGTGTCTAACCTTCAATCCATCAGATGATTGGGCAAGTAAGTCAGTTGCTTGCCTGCTCGTTGCAGGACGGACCTATCTGGCCTCACGAACGCAGTGCGCCCGTGGCCTTACCTACGTGTTTTCTGACTTAATTTGAGCTACAGCACAGAAACGTAATCAAATGGGTCAATTGTGACGTCAAGCTCGCGTAATATCAGTGCTCTGGTTATTTGAATGGTCAAATTCAGGATCAGAGGCAGTGTGCACTAAAAACAAGTGATAATATGCAAGACAACGGTTTACGGTTACTAGGTGCTGACTAGCCGTTTGAGCAAAACTGGTGAGAGATCTTGAATGAGAGTACGGACGTGTTTCCCTTGCAGTATAACTGCTGCATGTGTTCCGCAACTGTCCGTGGATATGTAGATTTCAGTTGCCTTCCAGTCCTGTGTCTGTGTTGTGTGGACCTGCGCGATTCAAATACAAGTGTGCAGTCACACATGGCCATTCCAGTGTGACAGTTGCAAAAACCTAGTGTGAGTAAAGGTGGTAACAACGTGAACTGAATGGATGGGAAATTATGAGCGCACGTGTACTGATCACACTAAGCAGAGTGGTGAAAAAATTAATTACGCAAATTTGAGTGGCTACAGATCACGCCATTCCCCACCTGGAATTGTTTTGCTTCAAGGAAGGAGAGGGGTAGCGTCACTCAATAGAGCGAAAGCGCATAGAGGAATTCCCACAGGTGTTTGCTATCTGGAAGTAGCACCCTCATGTGCTCATATGGAATGTAAGATCACACGATGGTGATTCGATCAAATCCCGACAACCTGAGCATTCCTTGAACAATTCAGCCATCAAATTCAGTGTATCTCTAGGTGACGTCATCCTTACTGACTGGTCTTCGCCACTCAGTGACTGAGTTCTTCCAGTCACTTTTGCTGATGCAGCCAAGTAGCTGCTCTTTCAAACGCCCCCCTAGAAACGTTAATTTGCTAAATATTCTATTAGTGCTGTTTTGACTTCATAAAAATTCGGTGCAACTTGTTCACATTGGCTTTGTTTTCAACATGGTCATACTGACTAATGTAGGAATATTGACGCATTCGTTCTTCTACACAACCTCGTGGTTGCGAGCGCTCTTCGCCTAATCAACGCAAAGTCAGATGTGCATTCTACCGAGGATGTCAGGCGAACGGCAGTTGTCTTCTGTTCAATTCCCCTTTAGTACTCAATGTAGAATTCCATATAGTGTGAAACAGGACGGTGAAAGAGGACGGTACTTTGACCCCTGTCTTGGCTTGATCCGCTCGAAATTATTTACCCTCCCCCCTCATCCTTTCTCCAAGTTCCAGGGAAGCTACGTACCAGTAGATGTCACAGATGCACCTTTTCCAGATAATTCCCGCCAAAAAATTAAACATCGCCACCCAAAAACGGATTAGAAAAAAGAGGATATGAAATCCGTACTTTTCGTTTTCACTGAAGAGGGTGAAATTGGGACATGCCACTAATAATTTGCATGAAAATGTACCGTTTTTCGGTACCTTTGCCTCCAAACGAACTCACACAAGTAGCTGTCCACTAAAGATCGGTGTGTGCCACATTGGCGTTCATTCTGCATCTTGTAGACGTGCCAAAGAGATTCAGTGATTTCTGTGTGACCTCCAGTTGGATCCACAGGGTTTTCGGTATGATTAACCGTTTCATGAGTATAACTCATGTCAATCATCGTTTCAACTCCTTGGTATGATGCCCACGTATCGGAAATGATGATTGAACTGGGAGTGATGCAGGTCTGGATTGTGTCGTTCGAGCTGGCACTGCATACATGAACACCTCTTTAGTTTCCCGGCAGATCCCCTCGAAAATCCACTGCTGGGGAAGGACTCGCCCTGCGTGGTTCTTACGGCGAGATACAAGCGTTTTATCGACCTCGACGTGTAGACTTGGGCCGCCATTAACTGTTGGAGTTTTCGAAAGCCGCCAGGCGCAAACTTCGCGAAGAAAGTTCTTCCAGACAACGGTGGTAGTGTGGCTAATAGATTATTCCTCTGAGCAGAATCTAATTTTTGCCAAATTTTCGGACCAGCAATAAGTGAATAGAATTACTGTTCTAAACTCCATCAGAGGCCGCTCCAGCCCAGTTCCCTTTCGAAGACCGATTTCTTGCTGGTACTGTTGGGCATTACACCTCCATCTGTCAGAAATGATTGAAAGTGTCATTTGGTGGCCATTGTTGCATAAACGTTGCAGATGGATCACTCCATTGCTTTTCGAAAAACGTATTGCCGTCTCCTTGTCATGAACGCGCGTTGAAAGCGTCAGAACTTCCATTTAAGATTTTACGTCCGAACGGAGACATTGTTTTGCACAAAATGAGCTTAGATGCGGATAGGGAATTGTTTTCATCGAAACTAGGTCAAGGTTATGTGCGTACATTAAATCGGAGCGGGCAAAATTTGGTGGGGCTTAACTTTTCGCAAGTTCACATTTTGCATTGGTGGCGGGGCTTATCTGGAAAAGATGCTCATAGATGATCCGTTGGAATTGACAAAACAACAGCCGTGCTGATAAACGTAACCTATTGCCATTTTTCTTTCAGCTACGTCACTCACGAACACGGCCACTTTGTTGATATGATGTACGGAAACAAGGCAGTATTGTTGTTCAAAGCAAACTAACACCTAATTCAAAAATAGAAAATGTTTTATTGCTTTAGAAGCTCCAACTTCATGAAAGCTGTCCAGAATAAAATATTTCAGTTTCTCTTTCTTTGGTCTTTAATCCAGCATGGTTTGTTGAATTGTGATCTAGCTGGAGAAGCTTTTCAAATGTGAAAACATGTTCCTCACCTCGACAAAACATACTAATTACAAGATAACTGAACATTCTGCAGCAACCCACTACCATAAAAACTCCCATAAAGACCATGTTTTTTGCAGTTGGATCTAGCTTAACCTCGTGATAATTGCCTCATTCGTTTGCTTACTCTGTCCGTGTACTTTTGATCTCCACCTAGTCTGTTCATCAGTCCCCGTCATGTACCTAGCCGCAAGGGCCGTTCAGCCCGATGCCAGCATGTAGGTGAATGTGCGCAGCCAACCTACTTTCCTGCGCGTGAAGGTGTCCCGTCCGCTAAGTCTGTCCTGTCGTGGGTAACTGCACAGCCAATCAGAATCGCCGGGCTGTCCTCGGAAGGGGTGATCACACTTCACACTATAGAGGCAACGTGAACAACTGAGGTTTGTAGAGTTTCGAACCCGATTCTTCCTTTTGATATGCGGGGTCGTCAAGCCTACGCTTGACTCAGTTCCGTGTCGGAAACCGGAACAGTTGCAAACTCGCATTTGTGGTACCGAGTGACTCAGTCGAACTTCCTCCAGCTGGTGAAACCTCGAGCAGTATGCCTACTTGATGAGTCATAAGAAGGGCAAAACTGGTAGTAGGTATAAAGAGTAGTATATCACGTCAAGAAGGCATCATTCGGCATTTCAAACTGAAATACCTTTGTACAGTACATCTATTACAAGAATGTAATAAACGAATAACTCGGCTGAGCCTCTTATTAACTTGTGGGAGCGAGATGGGCCAGGTGGTTAGAGCGTGAATTTACTGACCAGAAGGTCCGTGGTTCGAACCCGACCTCTGCCTCTCGACTTCCCCTGTCTACGCTTGGGCAACCTGGTAGTATCTAAGCCCTCGTGCTTCCTTCGGGTGGCATGGCAGCTAGGCACCGGAAAGGTGCTACAGCTCATTACATTGTTCACGTGTTCGCGCCGGATGTAGTTGCATCACGTGAGTGCAGTTGGTCAGAATCGAGATTCTACTTCGCTCTTGTCAATAGCTCACTGCTGATTAGACGTTCGAGGGCTTTCGAAGCTTTTGGGCGCAAGCTGGAACAAACCATGGTCAATTTTATGACTGCCTTGTGGTCACGGCGTTCAAACTCAACGAAGCCCGCTTCTCATACCTTAGAAGAGAATACTGCTGGCTTATCACTGCTCAGCCACAGCCCCCGGACCTAGCAACACACATGAACCGAGCAACAAACTCAAGCTGGAGGTGAAAAACAGACTCCGATGGAAACACATACGCGTAATATCGATCCACAGTAAGTAGTAAAACAGAGAAGCTAATCGCAGCATCTCGGGAGAGGATACAATACAAAGTTGTCATATTGCTGAATCACCAATCTGTTTTATCTGACTGTTGACCCCGCTCCGGCGCCTGAAAAAATATATCGAAGGGAACAAACACATCAGCTTTATTTTAAATAAGCGAGTGCGGGTGCGAAAAAAACAACTGCCCCAAGCGGCGCTCGGTATTCGGAAAATGGAATGGAATTTTCGAAAGCTATGACGTGCCCTGATGGACTAAAGGAATCGGACAATTGATGTCAGAGTACCAGTCCAAATTTTTGAACCCCATTTAGGCATTCCGGGGGTCTCAGCGGTGCTGGGAAATTATTCCACCAAACTTATCCGCCAGAGGTATGATTGTATCAGTGGACACGCGCCCAGACAGAAAAAGCACATGCAGAGCGTGACGCACCCCCAAGGTCACCATCGTCACGACACTTCCGGAAAGTAGGTGAGCCGGCAGCTCCCACCAAAAACCAAATGGCTTAGCAACACACGACCAGCGTAATGGGCCTGAGACTGTTCACGATCGGAACACCACCATTGGCTGTACGGAACGAACAAGTGAATGACCATATTTGGTCAATTAGTCATCCTATATATTTACGCAGAAGCTCCGTACATTTTGTCCTGGCAATACAGCCGTGTCCAGGGTTTTCTGTCTTCCCCCTGTCGCGTAGTCTTGCAGGCCCAGTGCAGGCGTAACCCCAGTAGACGACCACCCACGATACAACAGCTGCAAAAGTGTAACGTAGATTAGAATGGTTTTTGGTTTGAGCACATACGCAACAAAATGCAACATTTCGGCGCAAAAAGTTTTACTCCACTCATTAAGGTTTTGCAGCTAAGAACATTGTGCGGCTAATGGGCCCCGCCTCAAGATACTTTATTGGAGGGACACTGTCTAACCTTGGTCCAACGCTGTCTTGCGCTTTCTGGCTTCGATACAAGGCTGTTACGCGCTGCATATTGCGGGGGCGTTCTTTGACCTTGATCAACTCTGACTCACGCTGTCTGGGTTTGATACTAGACTGCCAGGCGCTGCATACTGAGGGGGCGTTGTCTGTCTGGCCAACATCCGGCGGAGTTGAGAGTCTCAGTAGATTTCGGGCATCCACCGGTTACTTCCAGGAGTCTGACCTTCTTCATAAAAGTCGACACTCCAGCAGACGGTGATTAGCTATAGTGGTAATCGTCAGGTCGATGTAAAGTACGCGTACCCAGTTAAGGTGTAAAAATGTCCCACCCTACGTAGAATGTTGAACAGCTGCCTAAAAGCCCGGAGGTCGATGTCGACTAAACGGAAGTGAACTGTGTAGGAACCGGTTTAAACCCATTAGGCCGAACGTATCTAGTTAAGTACTTGTTTGGTTATCTTCTCAAACTGATTTGTAGCTCTTCTGCGGCACCTCTGCCCAATCAGGATCGGTAATCCAATATTGATCCAAGAACTTAAGTGTAGACGCTGCAGGTTGGTTCACCTCAAGCAAGACAGATTCACTTGATTTCACTATTCTAGATGCACACTCGTGTGCCAGAATCGTTAGCGTTGATGTGGCTAGGCTGAGTTGAGTGGCTCGTGGTTAGCAGATATCCTACTGTGGGCGAACCCGGATTTCGCGTTATTGTTGTCCACATGACCATTCTTCACGTAACACGCCACTCACAAATCATGAAGAGGCACTTGAAGCTGTGGAGCGTTTCACCTATAGTGGAAGTTGTATTAGTTCTCATAAAGGAAACTACTCACAAGGTTGCCGAGAACTCTTCGACAGCACACGACCGGTTTCGCCCCTCTTGGGGCTCATCAGGTAGGCGCAGTTTTGAGTGTAGTGTGACAGATGAGGTCAATGTACGAATCTGCAAGGCTCGGGTCGCGTTTGGCCATTTCAGACGCCTATGAAGTCAAAGCAGTATGTGCCTGAAACTCAGCGAACGTGTGTATCAGGCCATTTTGTTGTATGTCTGTGAGATTTGGCCTTTTCGGGTAGCGGAAATGAGACATCTTCAGATCTTCGATAACCTTGGTCACAGATCCAAGGCTCGTGTGTGTGTACTGGTGTCAGGAAATTCATCAGGGGACTATCAGAAAGTGTTGTGACTTGCTGAACAGTAGCGCATCTCTGTATCGGTCCTTTGGCTTCCTGCTCCGCCCACTATGGTGCATCAAAAGGCACGGCAGCTCTACACAGCCCTTTACGGAGACCACAGGAGAATCATGGCATCTGTATTTATAGGGTAATCATAGAGGTTCCCACAAGGTCGTGCTAGAATCGCCGAGGGGGCGAGAAGCGTCGATTCAAAGATGTTCGATCCGGATTGGCTGGCATTCTGACCAATCAGAGCACGCTTTCGTTTGGTCCGTGTCCTGCACGTGACATCCGTTCAAATGATGTGATGTTCGGTTATTAGAGATGGCTGGCCTCCGTACATAAAGTGAGTTTTCGGTTGGGCATCGGGGACCTCCATTGAAGAATGTGTCCAGCACCAAAAACTGTAGTGGTTAGGCCATGTACTGAACATGCCGAATCACCGCTTACCGAAGAGAATGCTGTGTTCCGTGCCCGTGATGGAAGCAGAAGCAGTGAACTCTTGACCGAGTGGAGAGGTGTGAAATAAATTACGATAAATCCGAGTACACTGTGCTACTCACCTTTGGGGTTGAGGGCCCGATATCTCCCCTGCGTCTCGCTGGCGACGCTGCAAGATATGACTGCTAATCCATGCCGGTTCCTAACCAGATTGCCCGAGTGTCTGGAAGTGCAAGCACCTCGGAATGATTGTATTAGGCTGGCACCAAAGTTCTCCCGTGTGCCTCTTCATCCTTTTCTTCACAATTAGATCTTCAAACAAATTATGTTCGGAAGGCAGCAAAGTACCAGTGTTGAGCACTGATGCCATGATGTCGATGATGATGACCTTTCTGCACTTGCATATACCATACTTACCAGATGAAAATAAAAGGGCTTTTGACTCATCGTTGACCAGTTCTGCTCTTATCTTAATGGTAATCCTTTGATCTATCCAGACCAACGCGAGAAATGCTTGAAACCTGATGAACAATTATCGATTTTGTCTTGGACGTTTAGGGGACTTGTAGAATCCACGTTCACATCACCCTGGATTACGTGATCTAGACCCAAGCAATACGTATCCCACAACTAATCAGAACCTTCCGGCAGACTTCGGGGCGAGATTGACCAAGTGGTTAGGGCGCGAATTTACTGACCGAAAGATCCGTGGTTCGAACTCGTGTCTCTTGACTTCCGCTGTCTAGGCTTGGGCAACCTGGCAGTATCCCAACCCTCGTGCTTCCTTCGGGTAGCATGGCAGCTAAGCACCGAAAAGATGTTACAAGCGGTAGACTTCAAGCATCCGTTCAGCTACTCCAATTGAAGATCTTGACAAGCAGGCCAGTGGATACAACCGAGATAGTCACTAGGTCGTCCTTCTAGCCTTTTGGGGTAACAATCGTGTATGTGTTTGTCTTTTCAGAGGTGACGTTTCGGGTGCATACATCGCGCGCAACTTGGATTCCATTAAGACAACAGATCCCATTCGGTAAAGTGAGGAAGTCGGTACTTTACTGAACGGCAGCTAGTTATTCAAACTCTCAAAAGAGGAACATATGATTGAGCAATAAGTACTCCCCTCGGAAGGGGAGCAATTTTGATGGCATGAAATTCGTCCATTGCACGCCTCCTCGAAGAAATCTCCCTCAGAGCAGGAGGGATGACGATTCCTGGTTCCGGAAATGTCTGAATTATTCCCCAAAGGGGAAGGCTCAACAACAAAAGAGCCAGTCATTTTTGATGACGATGGCAAAAATGCACCCTGTCTGGCCAGTTTTCTTAGTTTAATGACATCGTGAGGAGATTTGGTGGTTTCCAATTGAGATTTCATCGAACCCGAGACGTTTCGGTTAAAGACTGGACTGTTTGGCCACCAGCGGCCGATCAGTAACATGATGAGCTCTCAGTTAGCGCTATTTGAGTCAGGAGCGGCCGATCAGTAACGTGATGCGCTATTTCAGTCAATATTCGCTAACAAAAGGGAGACCTTAGCTTTCGATCTGGATGGGGCGCAGCTATGGCGAACAAAGCTCAGAAGTGGTGAAATGCCTTCGGAATAGCCCACCATAATGAAGTGTAGAAAACCGTACAATAGTCAAGTATCGAATCAAGATAATACAAAGCACAAATTGAACAAAAAAGTAGAAGAGGTAAGGATGTTTGACGAAAGCAAATAGTCAATCATGTTAGTAGTGGATGAGTCTCATTCCTATACAATGAGCTGGTCCGCTCACATACGGAACACGCCGAATCGTGAGGGTTCCCTGGGTTGAGGAGCATTGTAAGCGGCAGACAAACCGAGGCCGAGCACAGTTCGTGTGTCCACCGGGTCTATCACACCATCGTCCCACAGTCGAGCACTGGAGTAGTACGGATGGCCTTCTCGTTCGTATTTTTCAATGACTGGCTCTCGGATTTGACGAACTTCCTCATCGGTGAGCTACAAAGGAATTTGAGGAGGAACAATGAGAACGCGACAGGCAGAACCGAATCCAGCGATTAAGCCCAATGAAGAAAAAACTAACTTCTTTCCCGGTTTTCCGAAGTCGCTGCTCGGACTGGACTTGGCTTAGTACATTGGCGGCCTGTTCCCCACCCATTACGCTGATTCTTGCGTTGGGCCACATGAACAACAAACGGGGAGAGTAGGCCCGCCCGGCCATTCCGTAGTTGCCAGCACCGTAACTGCCCCCAATGATCACCGTAAACTTGGGAACAGCGGCACAAGACACTGCTGTGACAAGTTTCGCACCATGTTTGGCTATCCCTCCGGCTTCAGCGTCACGACCAACCATGAAGCCTGAAGTAAAATCAAAGAAAGTGAACCGTAGTGAATGTGAGGGCGTACACCGTGACGAAAACAGAGCAGCGAACCACAATACGTCATAGTACCTTAATTACCTTCCTGAGGGGGCGAGATGGCTCTAGTGGTTAGAGCGCGAATCTACTGACCGGAAGGTCCGTGGTTCGGACCCGACCTCTTCCTCTCGATTTCCCCTGTCTAGGCCTGGGCAAACTGGCAGTACCCCAGCCCTCGTGCTACCTTCAGGTGGCGTGGTAGCTAGGCACCGAAAGGATGCCACAACTGAACGGTTTTCTCTCATTAAATGTTCACGACGGCTCGAAAATTCACAAAACTACCACCAAGAAAGCCTAGTCACGGCGGTATACAATAGACTTTTCCAAATACCTTCACTAGACTGTCTGCACTTGATTTTTGTTCAGAGAAGCAGACCAAATCACTGCTTTCAACCTACGGGTATTCGTGGATAGAAGTGGCGCGAAAGTAGTCACAGAAACAACGGCAAACGGCCATTAAAGCTGCACGTGTGGTGATACAAGTGATGACAACAAGTTTCAGGTCTCGACAAATAAACTCATTTACAAATCAAGTTGGGTTTCACGGGAGACTCAACCGAATCTCTCGTTTATGAGTAGTTTCCTTAAGGAAAATACACTGCGATAACTCGCACCAAGTGAAACATGTGGCGGCCTTTGTGCAGCACATTCAGCCGAAGAATATCACAAACGCGGGATCCAGTTGAGTCTCTCGTGGAAACCGAATTGATTTGCAGATGCATTTGTCAAAATCATCATCGACAGCATGACATCAGTGCTTCGCTGCCGTCCAGCACTGTTGAAATCAGTCCTATTCGGGTTCAAGCAGACCACAAGGCTGACGGAAGCTCGGAGACTGCGCCTACCTGATGATCCCCAAAAAGGGCGAAACCGGTCTAGGGCTGTCGAAGAGTTCTCGGCAACCTTGTGAGTAATGTCCTTATGAAGAGTCTCAAGTCGATAGCTGAGAGTTGTGAGGGAGTAAATCAAATTAAGAGGAAAAAAGCAGCATAATGTTGACAAATACGCAACGAGAAGTTCCTTCGGCAATTTAAGCTGATAAATTGGTGGGCTAGCTTCAGTCGACGATGAGACTTATGCTGCGACAGGTATGTTCTTGCTGATTCAGTTTGATAGACGAGAACTGAGTCGGTTCGGAGTCGCCGAGTTTTCCAGGACGTAGGTACCAGTTACCAGTTTACTTACTCGTAGTACACACTCGTTAACTTTCCTTTGAGCCATGGTAAGCACACTTGGACGACATACTCACTGCAAAAACGAATATGTGTGGTTAAAAGGTATGGAAGATTTGGTGCCTTAACTTTCAAGAATACTCGACATAGAAGCCCAAGATGACTGAAGGTTTGAGCACAGGACTCAACAGCTTAGCTTCTCCTCTTTATGAACACTGAGGTCATGCTGCTGAGAAACAAGTAAAAGCTGGTTTGCAAGTTAACAAGATGATGCATGGATAATACTCGGATCGGTGAAACGCTTATGGCTCAGTCACTAGCCCGAAAATGACTTACTGGATACCGATTTACCTTTCGCAGCTAGGCGCTGCTACGGCCGAGAACCTGTCTCGTGCAAGATTGGCTGAAATTTCGGGACGCTTGCCAGTCCGGTATCAAGCCGAGATCTGATTGGTCGAAAGTCTGGACCCAACAGCCAATCACAACTCGGTATTGGCCGAATGCCAGTTGCCAACGAAGATAACGCACTGTACAAGTGTTCTTGACTCGGCCCTAGGCGTTAATATACCTTGGCACCTTTGCTGGATGTTTTGACGTGAACGTTAGCTTGTGAGGTTTAGATCAAGAATTAAGCTGAGGAAAATGCCGTTATTACAATAGGTGTTCTGGAGAAAAGCACTCATCAAATTGTCAGAACACTCCCAGCTGTAAATTCTCCTCGCTGTCATGTGGGGCACAGTTTTCTAGCATAACGGATACTATCTTCTAATCAATGATACGTGGTCCCTATCCGAGTAGGTGAATGTAGGTTCTGCAGGAATCTATGGTCACAAGTCGAAATGACGATAATTTGTCAGCTTAGTTTTCGGTCTGAGACTTCCAAGCTATCATTCCCGCCAAAATAACCACCAAAGGTGCACAACGTGTATTAATGCCCGAAACCAGCTCAAAAGCACACGGACAGCACATCGTTTATAAAGTGTTTGCGGTGACAAGATTCTGGAAATACCGACGCTTTTTGGGCAACCAGCATTCAGCACATACTGGATCATGAGTGGCTGTTGAGTCTACACTTTCGGCCAATCAGGGTTCGCCTTGATGCTGGACAGGGTCCGATCTTTTGGTCAATGACGTGCGGGATAAGGCGTAGCAGCGCCTAGCTGCGAACAGTAAGTTGGTGACGGTGCGGAATCCCGACTAACACAACTGAACTTCGGGAAAGCCAAGTGGAGATACTCCTTATTGATGGGTCACTAGAAAGTAAAGAGTTTATCGACGAGTAACATGAAATCGCAGACCATAGGTGGAGGGTGTGGTGGCGAAAACATGACTGAAAACAGTCAAATGGAATAATGAAAGATCCGAAGAGAACGATGAATCGGGAGATCAAATCAAGTCTTTTCCTGTATGGAAGCCATAAAGTTACTGAAATCGTTCGAATACAGTGGAGTCTGCATGAAATTTCCCGCCACAATGCCCCCAAACCCACCTTTCTATTTGTCGAAATGAGTGTATGACTTACTGTTGTACCGTGGGTGGCCGCCTATTGGTTACCACTGCACTGAGCCTGCCAGACTACGCGACAAAGATAAAACAGAGAACCTTGGACACCACCGTATTGTCAGGACAAAACATACAGAGCGTTTGCGTGAATATACAGGATGACTAATTGGCCAAATATGGTCGTTCACTTGTTCGTTCCGTACAGCCAATGGTGGTGTTCTGGTCGTGAACAATCTCAGGCCCACTACGCTGATCGTATGTTGCTAAGCCATGTTTGGTGAATTCCGCCAACTCACCTGCCTTCAGAACGTGTCGTACCGATGGTGATCTTGGGGATGTGCCAGTTTCTGCATATGTACTTTTCTGTGTCTGAATGCGTCCTGACACTTACCCAGCACAAGAACCAGGCTTTTCGCTCTCGCCAAAATGCGCCAATCGAATGCCATCCGTCCCTGTCGATTTCAGTAGCACTGTACCGTGACACCAGTGGGCTCGAGAGCGTATGTTTGATCGCCAGGCTTAGTGTACTATGAGGTTTTGGAGCATGCTACAATATGGAATCATACTGGACCATCCTCTCTAGCAGGTACAGTCGCATCAAAGAGACCCTTGGTGGAGGCTGTCTCCAGGGATGTGTGCACTATTTACTCATCTCTGGAACAAATTTCTGTTTGTTATCGACGGATCAACACTGGCGGGTTTCCAGTTGGTCATGGTTGGGAATAGCACCTCAAAAAGACACGAAAAACACGAAAACCTTCAGAAACAAAGGATCAAGAAGTCTGCATCTATGTTTAAGGAGGAGGTACTTCCATACCAATACCCATGACGCGGGAAGGTTTCCAAAGGGCAACCCTGTCGAAAACAAATGTGTGGCGTGTAAAATCCGTACGCTTACCAGTTATATTCTGCAGGAAAATCAGTGGAATGTTCCGTTGACAGCATAATTCGATGAAATGTGCACCTTTGACGGCAGAATCGCCAAAAAGCACGCCGTTATTGCCCAAAATACCCACCGGGAATCCCCAAAGATGAGCAAACCCTGCACCAATGAAGGAGAGATAAATTGGGATAAAGAGTCAGGCCATATCGATACGTGGAAAGTTTAGTTTGGAAAACCCGGCAGTGTCATCTATCTACACAGAGTGATGTCAGAGTAAATATGAATGCCACGAAACAGTTTCTAAACTATAGGTGTTCAGTGCCACATTAATAATACAATAATCGTTCAGCCATAACACCTTAG